TGATATATTTGATATATTTGATATATTTGATATATTTGATATATTTGATATATTTGATATATTTGATATATTTGATACATTTGATATATCAGAACGTGATAAATCGCAAATTGATCGTGATATCGGGTCACATCTAGGACACAGTAGATAGATCAGATTAAGGGGCGCACAATATGGATGTAATGTATATAAAAAATCAAGGTAAAGTATTCATTAATTTAAAACAGTAAAGGAATAGAATTGAAGAATAAAATTTTAAGTTACGACAGTATATCAACAAAAGCGAAATAAAAATTCATGTGACGGCGTAATAGTTTAATTAAAAGATTATACGAATCAAATGACATCGAATGAATTCTGAAATTAAAGAGATATCATAAAGATTTATGCAATAATAAGGTAATTTATTTTTTCAGTGACACTATGTTATATCAGGCGAGAGCAGCTTAGATATTTACATACGATTCAAAATTATAATATATTTATTTTAAAAAGTAGCAATGGTAAAGTGCATACAAAGTATCTTACTTTAATATAGATGTATTTATTTGAGCCAAATAACTAACTCATAAAATAGAATAAGTAAAATTTTTTTTTTAAAAAAAAGAGAAAGAAAGAGCAAGCATACTGTAAGTTACGATTAAGTCTGAGTAGAAGGAATAATCATATAATAACAGATTATTAAAAACAAATAATCTATGTATTCTAGCTCCTTTCACCTTCTTGTTACTCTTTTTCCTTTATTTTTCTTTACTGTTTTTGTACCTCTTTTTCTCTTTTTAGGCTGATAGTCTTCTTCTTGATCATTTTCATCCAGCAAGTTTTCATTTTCACTATATTCATGCTCAGAGTTATGTTCACTATTGTTATCCTTGTCTTCTGCATCTAAATCAATGCAATTGCTTTTTTCAACCGACGCAGTAGCCTCAACATCAATAATGGGTAATGTAGATAAAACTTTGGATGAACTGGGAATAGGAATAGCATCATGCTCACTATAAGAAGGTTTCTTAGACGGGTGGTTGGAGGTGAAATAGATGTCATCAGCTATAATATCGAGAATTGAGTGAGTGTGTGACGATGAAGAGGAAGAAATTTCGAGTATGTTAAAAGTCAGAACAGGCGGTTTTGAATAATCAATATCAGTGGCCTCTATCATTATTTTTCCAGAATCTGAAAATCTAAAGAAACCAGATACGATGTAGGTATTTCCTACTGTAATATTAGACCCTAAAGAACCCAAATACTTAAATCTTTTAGACTGGACGGGATATAAAACAGTCATTTCTATTTTAACATTAGAAGAACCGGTCACCGAATTATATTCTACGCATTCAACGCCAAAATAAATGAATTCTTCAGTTTGTTTCGCGTTGTGGTTGACGACAACAGAAATCATGCAATGCGGAACGCATATAGGGACACTAGTAAGGTCAAATTCACGATTCGGATTTTGATTATCGACAATACTAGCAGAGGCAACAGTTATGCACTGTTGAGAATCTTCAACAGCACATTTACCGGAAAAAAACACCAAATCACCCGGAGCGAATAATTGAGAAGATGAATTATTAGAGAAAAAATATTTCCATCTAATGGTACGAGACGTTTGTTCGGAAGGTTTATATTTAGCAAGGCCATAAGAAGAAATACTATTATTCTTTATAGAGATGATAACAGCAAGTAAGGCAATATGAGATGGCATTTTTTTTATCTAAAAACTTAATGTAGTGCGAAAAAAAAGGTCACTTTTATATAAAATAAAACAATAAGCTTTATTAATTTAAACGTTTGACTATAAAAACATGCGATTTCTATGAATGAATATAATAGAAATCGCTAATTATTATTCATGCCACAAGTTTGGACAAACAAAAGAAGCGAAACATTGTTATCGTGGCAAAGCAAAAGATACAATTTGTTCTATTAACTAAAAATCGGATGATTCTTAATATAACAGGAATTAACATAGATATGTTATAAGCTTGGACAAATAAAGATCTGAACCATTCTTTTTGCGCTAAAATAAAGAAATTGATTCATATTATTAGCAAAGCAATCTGAACGGGATGGAAACAATTGAACACACTATACTTTTACCAATTAAGTATATTGTATTATCACAAATTATAAAATTTTTAATTACGAGATAATAACAATGTTAAACCAGATTATTAGCAAGCACAGACTTATTTTAGCAAAATAATCTAACTGTTTCAAACATGAATTTAGATAATAATATTATAACACAAAGAATCGTAAACGCTCGGGTTCATTTAAATCATAAATTACCCGATTCTCCATTCACAACTTGGTAAGCATTAAAACCAGAAAAATACATGAAATGAACAAGGTTTGAGATTTACAATGGGTGGAATGTTCAAACCTGTTTAAGTGAATTAGCGTTAAATATAAGGTAATCAACTATATATATAATAGTTATCTGATTCTCAATTATCGAACAACACTAATCCCAATCTTAATTACTTTTCTCTGAGTGACCTTTCATATAAGGAAATCAGAAATGAGTCGGTAATACCAACCTTAAAACACTCTCACTCAAAAAAGAAAGTTCATATATTATGGAAAAAAAAAATAGCAACATGGCATAAATTTTAATATAAATAGGTAAACGCGGTGATGTGCAACATATCGTATACGTTTTTACCGGCAGTTATACATTTTTGGTAATTAATTTAAGATTATTCCCTTATTAGGAAGGGCATTTAAGGCAAAAGCACAGGGGAAAATTATTTAAATCTCCGGACAATTTTCATTGGCTTCAGTCATTGCTTTTTTTGCTCATGAATTAGTAATCGTAGACAATTAAATAAGGTGAGACGACAATATTAATATTAGAACAATATTTTACTTGTAATGGTTAGAAAAAGAATTTCATAAAGATGGACTTTTTTCCTTTTTTTATTTTTTTAATACGTTCTAGCTAGTTGTTATCGATTACTGGCACCGAAAATTCTATTCGTATTGTGCAGTGCATATCACTTTTATATTGCTTTTAGTTTGTTAGGTTAGATTACTCGGTTTTTTTTTCAGATCTTTTTAATATCGGATAAATTGATAATCTACAAAGACATATTTTAATTTATGTTTATATTTTATAAACATATAATAAGTTTATAACTATGTACAGTTAAAGAACGATGAATTTAAAGCATATTGACTAACTCAAATACAACCACAAATGAATATACCGTATTTACGCATATGTAATAAGATATTTTTTTAATATTATCGCAAACTGCATTATTTGACCAAGAAACTTATTTTAATTATATCACACATAAAATTATTGGCCAATAAAGCACGTGGTAGCTAAAAATAATCGATATACATAGATTTTCTGTTGCAAATTCATATTACGTATAACAAAGTATAAGATAGAATATTTTAATTAATCGGCTTCTATCAACAGAACCTTCAATATCGCATATACACATACAATACACATACATAAAGATTTATTACGCATGTACATAAAAAACAAGTTCAGCATACAATGTGATGCTTGATAAGTGAAGTATAAGTAACATGTTACATTTAAGGTCACGCGGACCAATCAGATCTAAGATTTTGCGGAACAACATCATTTCGATCGTCGCATAACCATACACTGCGTGATATTCATCACTCCGTTCCTGGTATTACACATATATTAGTTGTACGTACTACGTAGATTATGCAGCACTATTACGTCATTCTTTGAGGAACATAATCGCGCTATATAATTTAGGATATATTATTACGTATCTAATTATGTTGTGTAATCACTGCAAGTATAAATATACTACATCGGTAAAACATTAATAATTTTCTTTGTTGTAAACCAAAAATGGAATCTGAAGATTTAACAGAAGTAGAAGATATTCAAATGAATTTTATTAATTGTCAAAAATCAGCAAATACGAACGATCCAGATGGATTATACAGACTTGGCTATTGTTATGAATACGGAATTGGTGTTGAAAAGGATGAAAACAAAGCATTCGTTCATTATCAAAAATCAGCAGATATGAATAATTCTAATGGAATGTACCAAGTTGGATATTGTTATTACCTAGGAATTGGGGTTGAAAAGAATAAGCACAAGGCGTTTGAATATTACCAAAAATCTGCCGAAATGGATCATATTAATGGAATCTATAAAACTGCTATTTGCTGCTATTATGGAATTGGCGTGGAAAAGGATAATCAGAAGTATGCTGAATGGATTAAAAAGTAAGCTAATTTCATAATAAATTGTAATTTCTCTACATAAAAATTGAATATCTTAACCAATTTTAATTGTTTAATTATCAGGGAGTAAGTATCTATTAATTTACATATTAGTTTAAATTTATAAATATATACTTATCATTCATGTAATTAGCCCGTGAGTATGAAGATAATTATTTTAATCATTAGAATTAAAATCAGTAAAACAAGTTCATTCTAATCATAACATAATTACTTTACTATTATGTAATATCATTTCATTCGAATTAATAATTTCATATAGTATGTGAGTATAAAGAAGGCCGTTGGAATCAAAATCTGCAAACGAATTCACAAATCAGAAACATAAATACGTACTTATCATTACATAATACCATTCTAATCATTTTATCCGCATTCATTTAGTTTGTAAGTATAAAAACTTTTCATTAATCATTGAAATAAAATCGGGAAAACAAATTCTCAAGTCAAGAACATAAATACTTACCCTTCATTTTATTTCATTCGCATTGATTTAGTCGGTGAGTATAAAGAAGATTTATTAATCAATGGAATTAAAAACAGCAAAACAAATTCACAAATCATAAATACTTATTTACCTTTACATTAAATTCATTTCATTCGCATTAATTTAGTCCGTGAGTATAAGGAATATTTATTAATCAATGGAATTAATAACAGCAAAACAAGTTCTCAAATCATGATCATAAATACTTATTTACCATTACGTTTAAATTCATTTCATTCGCATTAATCGCCCTTACTTAGCACGTTAGTATAAAGAAAATTATTAATAAATGGAATTAAAAACAGTAAAAAACAAGTTCACAAATCATGATAATAAATACTTATTTACCATTACGTTTAAATTCATTTCATTCGCATTAATCACCCTTACTTAGCACGTGAGTATAAAGAACATTTATTAATCAATGGAATTAATAACAGCAAAACAAGTTCACAAATCATGATCATAAATACTTATTTACTATTACGTTTAAATTCATTTCATTCGCATTAATTTAGTTAGTGAGTATAATGAAGATTTATTAATCAATGGAATTAAAAACAGCAAAACAAGTTCACAAATCATGATCATAAATACTTATTTACCATTACGT